GGAGACAGATACAAATGGTTTGAATTTTCTTATTTGAAAATCCCTAGACCAGATGTTCCCATTCTCTGGTGCAGTTTCAAGACCCGGTTCTATCCCCCACCCAACCCCAACCCTAGGACCATCTTCCCATGGAAGCTCACCTTCCTACTGTCTCCTCTTTCTCTTCTTGCAGGTTTTGAGAGTCGTGTACCCTCGGAAAGTTGGTGACAATGTTCATTTTGTGTGTGTTGGTGACTGGGGTATCTGCCCTCACCACTTCATCAGTGGTACCCACAGAAAGGGCTTCTGGATCCCCTGTCACGTCAGAGAACCACACAGGTAAGAAACAGCCGCATCAGCCAGGAAAGGGCTGGAACCAGCATTTCTGCGAAAACAATTCTCCAAACAAACAGTAAACTACAAATATTTAAAACATGGCCAACTTAGCCTTATTCAAAGTTGCATTTGTTATGGAGTTTGAGACCCCTGGAAAAAGACCACAGGCTTGATTCAGATTGTAATTAGTTAAGTTTATTGTTAGCAGAACAGCAGTCTCTGAGCCAAACTAGAGACTGCTGCTGGCCTAAGAGGAGTGAGGGAAGGATTTTTAAAGAAAAAAAAAAAAAAAAACTACAAGAAGAACTTGAGTATCTGCACAAGCAAACCAAGAGGTGTTCTGCTTTGCCAAGATTAGGTAATCAAGGCCACTTCAAAATAGTCCTTGGTTGTCTGCATAAGGTTTACAAAAGCAAAAAACAACAAAAAAAAGCAGTCAGTCATATAATAAAAGTAGATGGCCATTGGTGTATATTTATGGGTGAGGGTCACTAAGTCAGGGTTACTGGGAACTTATCTTCCAGGGGCTGGAATCAGAGACAAATGGCTAGTGGGTACCAAGATGCAGGCTTAGCATAAAATTCTTTAGCCATCACACCTTTGATTTAAAGCATACAGTCTGTCACAACCAATCCCTTTTATCTGTATTTATACAGTTTAAATTGCAATATCAACAAATGAAAAAATATGACCATGTATTTAAATCTTTTAAAGAAAGATTTAAAGTTTTGTTTTTATTCGTGTGTGTGTGTGTGTGTGTGTGTGTGTGTGTGTGTGTGTGTGTGTACCCATGTGTGCAGGTGTCCTGGAAGGCCAGAAGAGAGTGTCCTCTCTCCTGTAACTAGAGTTACAGATGGTTGTGAGCCTTCTGATATAGGTGCTTAATGGAGCTCCAGTCCCTCTCCCCCCCCCCCGAAAAAAAAAAAAAAAAAAAAAAAAAAAAAAAAAAACAATGTGAATATGTGAATCTGATTTAACTGCCTCCTCAGGATGAAAATTGAGATCAATGGTCCCCAGGCTATCATTTGGGAGTCTAAAGTCATAGTAACAGCGGGTACTGCTCATGGGGCCCTGGGTGCAGGCTGGCTTGTTGGGAACATACCGAATCTTACTTAGATTACACAGTGTATCCTTTTGTTGGGACCACCTTGGGGACTTGCAGTTTTGTGATATGAGCAGATTTGAGACCTAAAGCCTCCTATGTCTGGCCAGCAGTGCTTGAAGACAACTGCCTATTCCGTGGCAGAGACTTCAAATCTGAATTCAGGCTGGAAGGCGAACCTGTGACTCTGAGGTGCCCTCTGAAGTGGCCTCATTCAGATGCTTCTGCCAGTTTCTATCCTTTTCTGACCTGGCATAAAATGAACTCCTCTCAGCTGATCCCAGGAGATGAGCCAAGGTTGTGGGTGAAGGATGCCACCCTCTGGGTTCTACCTGCAGTGCAGAAGGACTCTGGTACCTACATTTGCACATTCAGGTAAGACCCTCTGGGACCGGGGCAGTGTGTCTCCAGGCAGAATGGACTCTTAAGATCTTCAGCACACAGATGACAAGTCACACTATGTTTTCCTTGGTGTCCCTGCAGAGACCCTGTGCCAGTTAGGATCTATTTATTTATTTATATTTATTTTGTCAACTTGACATAAGCTAGCTTCATGAAGAAAGGAAAATCCATTGAGGAACTGCCTCCATCAGACTGACTTGTAGGCAAACATGTGGGACACTTTTTGGTTTTTTTTTGTTTATTTATTTTTCCTTTTTTATTTAAGTTAGAAACAAGCTTCTTTTACATGTCAATCCCAGGTCCCTCTCCCTCCCCTCCTCCCCTGCCCTCCACTGACCCCCTATCCTATCCCCTTTCTGCTCTCCAGGGAGGGTGAGGCCTTCCATGGGGGAGCTTGAAAGTCTGTCATATCATTTGAAGCAGGGCCCTAGTCCCTCCCCTGTGTGTCTAGGCTGAGAGACTAACCCTCTATGTGGAAAGAATGGGCTCCCAAAGTCCATTTGTGTACTAGGGATAAATACTAATCCACTATCGGAGGCTCCATAGATTAACCAGACCTCCAAACTGACATCTTTGTTTAGGGGGTCTGGAACAGTCCTATGCTGGTTTCCTCTGCTATCAGTCTGGGGCCCATGAGTAACCCCTTGTTCAGGTTAGCTGTTCTGTGGGTTTCTCCAGTCTGGTCTTGAATCCTTTGCTCATTATTCATCCCTCTCTGCCACTGGATTCCAGAGTTCAGCTCTGTGTTTAGCTGTGGATGTCTGCGTCTGCTTCCATAAGCTACTGGATGAAGCTACTAGGATGGCATATAAGGTAGTCATCAATCTCATTATTAGAGAAGGGCATTTAAGGTAGCCTCTCGACTATTGCTTAGATTGTTAGTTGGGGTCATCCTTGTAGATCTCTGGACATTTCCCTAGTGCCAGATTTCTCTTTAAACCTGTAACGGCTCCCTCTATTATGACATCTCTTTTCTTGCTCTCCTCTATTCTTTCCCTGACTGGATCTTCCTGCTCTCTCCTGTCCTCCTCTCCCTTCCTCTTCTCCCTTTCTCTTCCTTCTAACTCCCTCTCCCTTCCCCATGCTCCAAATTAGCTCAGGAGATCTTGTCCCTTTCCCCTTCTCTGGGGGACCATGCATGTCTCTCTTAGGGTCCACCTTGTTTCCTAGCTTCTCTGCCAGTGTGGATTATAGGCTGCTACTCCTTTGCTCTAGGTCTAAAATCCATATATGAGTGAGAGCATACCATTTTTGTCTTCGTGACTGTGTTACTTCACTCAGGAAAGTTTCTTCTAGTTCCATCCATTTGCCTGCAAATTTCAAGATTCCATTGTTTTTTTCTGCTGAGTAGTACTCCATTATATAAATGTACCACATTTTCTCCATCCATTCTTCAGTTGAGGAACATCTAGGTTGCTTCCAGGTTCTGGCTATTACAAATAGTGCTGCTATGAACATGGTTGAACAGATGTCCTTGTTGTAGGAATGTGCTTCTTTTGGGTATATGCCTAAGAGTGGAATTATTGC